CACCAAGGACTCTACCTGCTGAAGTACGCACAGCAATAAGTTCCGACCTCTTACGAGCTGGAAGACAACTTACAGGAGCTTACTCAGATGCGGGACCTCTAAGGTCATATCTTCGAAAGGAAAGGACTCCCGACATTCCCGAACAGCTGAGAACCTTCCGCACAATTTCATTAGGCGATAGGAAGGATTTGCGAAAACCGCCTGGTAGTACACATGCTTTACAAGCTATTCGCGAGGATTATTCTCGCTCACATAATAAGGACACTGGGTGAAGCCCAACCTGTAGATCAAGCTGGATTTCGCCAAGGATTCAGCTGCGTGTATCACATCCAGACATTTTCAAGGATTGTCGAGGTTTGCCGAGAGTACCGCCTACCTCTGTTCTGACCTTCGTCGACTATAAGAAAGCGGTTGACAGCGTAGAGATCAATGCCATACTGTCAGCGCTCGTCGGTTAAAGGGTGGACCCATCTTACATAGGGACGCCAACTGCTACAAGAACTGCTCTACAACGGTACAGCTTTCTATCGTCCCCTTAGCATACCGATTACAGAGGGGTTCGATAAGGGACAGCTTGTCGCCAATCCAATCCCCCTGTAATCGGTACGCTTATCGCTTTGCAGTGGATGATGAAATCAGTGGATAGGAACGAGAGAGATCTGCGAGTTGATGGGGATTCCTCTCAAAAAAATGCTTTGCGGACGACATTGTCCTCTCTTTGAGGAATACTACTGAAGCGGAGACGATGTTGAAATAAACGAAGTGTGAAAGCGGATAGGATTGCGGATCACCGGAAAAAGACTCAGTTCATAAAATCGCTTTTTTGCGAAGATCAGGGAACGGAAGCTTTCTGATCATGGAGACGTCTTTTTGCGTATATCTAGGCTCGATGAACATGGAGAACGATTTCAAAGAAGAAAACAGGAGGCAAAGAGCAGCACGTCGCTTTCGGACCCGTAAAGGCGACTACAGACCAGCTAACGGATCCAAAGCTCCTAGCCCACCTGTTCGATTCATGCATTCTCCCTGCGCTTCGTTACGCAGCGGAGACGTGGCTGATACAGATATGTCCGCTTCGAATCACAGAGCGCTGAAACGACGTCTTATGAAGTACAACCACTGCACTCAACAGCTCTTCAAACTTCGCAGTTATAAGATCAATGCCTCGTTTTCGCGAGCCGGTGGAATACTTCTCTAAGGCAAAACATCGATGAGCTCATATAATGAGAAGGACAGACGACAGATGGACACTAGGAACTCTCTAATGGTTCTGAAGCAAGAGCGAAGCAAAACGTCCTCGAGAGAGGCTATATTTGGGCATATTTTCGTTGCACTGCTTCAGCTGAATTCACTACTAAAAACGATTAATGCATCTGGACCTCGCAAACGTCATGCCGCAGTCTAAAAAACATCGTGAATGATGGCAGGAATGGAGGAAACAATGGCCCAGCACGACGAGGGAGACAGGCCATCTTTGTATCTAACTAGGGTTCTGAAATATTTGAATATTTCTACAACGCAAGCTGCTCTTTTCTTTAGATTTACCCGTCGCCGATTGTG